ATACAGGGTCGCTATGGGTTGGAACTGACTCTATGGCATTTCACAAGAGCAACAACTGCTTGGTTGAAAATTGAGCCATGAGGGTGGGTCCCTTTCCAGTCCTGAAGGGTGGCTGACGGCTAAAGTCCCAGGTTCCTTTAGTTTCTTTCTGACCAATTAGCCCTGGCATTTTTCTTTTTATTATAATTTTGAGTTTTGTTTCCTACTTTATCCAGGATCTTTTAATATGATCCCTTTCAGACCATTTGTTAGTGGTAGCTGGGTATCATCTAGTTCTTCCAGTGTGGTGGTTATGGAAACTGATGTTCACGTATTCCATGAGTCCATTGGACTCATTGATTCCAAGTATCTTTGATTTTTTTTATCACTTTTTTTCCTTCTTCTGCACATGGAGAGACCAATAGTTGCATCTTAGATAGCTATTCATGAGCTTTTAAGATTCCAGTCACTACTCATCAAATATTTGACCAAAAAATAAAAGATAATTTTTTAGGCTCTATGGACTCCTGGTATGGTGCTGTAGGATCAACACTGGACTGCAAAGCAGATGATCGGCAGTTCAAACCCACTAGCCACTCCTCGGAAACCCTATACAGACAGAGTCACTATGAGTTGGAACTGCCTCAGCAGCACTTAGTAACAACAACACTCATCAGAGTAGGATGTAGAACATTGTCTTTGTGGACTGTCTTATCATAAAATTCTGAGAAAGCTATTGTCAAGAGTTAGACTTTATTTTAGTACAGATACTCTTTTGTTATTGTAATGCTGAATATGATGTCACAGATGGTATTATACATGATTTTTAAAAACTAATATAATTCCCTACTCTTTTTCTTTGGCTTTCAGAATGGTTCTTAATATTCTTTTGGTCTGGGACCACTCTGATATTCTAGTGAGAACTATAGTCTCACCCTAGGGATTTCAGACTCCAAGGACCTCATCAATGGTTAGAGACCTTTTTCAAATAACACCATGGGTCCCAAGCACTTTAGCCCTTGGCTGCTGAAAGGAGGCTTGAGGGCCACATAGAGACTGTCTCTGTGGTTGACTAAAGGAGAATTTAGTACATAAAAATGTTCCTTTCTCCAGCAGTGTGGCAAGACCTGGGGACTCTTGGGACCAGAGTCAATGACATAGCCACAGAGGACTAGAGTGGAGAGTGAAGCATTCAGCTGATAAGAAGCGATGGCATATGCACAAGGACACCCACGCTTACAGATAATACCCACTTGACCTGGCTTCAATGACTGGATGATGAGAGCTCAACTAGAAGAAGAAACAAGAGGAAAAAGAGTAATCTGATACAGTTTGATGAACTTGACCTTCACTTATGGATGCGGTAGCTCAAAAGAGTGACCAAATCTTTACAGAAAGGATCATTCCCACCCCCTCCATACATAGAGTAGACAGGGAAGGGCAACTTGGACATTGGCTACCCAGAGTGGGGGGCTACAAAGGCAAGAAGTGACTGGCTTACAAGCTTTTAAGAGGGAACCTAGATCCAGAGGACGTGGAGGAAGGTAGAATCTCCACTGAGTAGTATCCAATCTGTCTAGGTGGGACTGATGAGAGGAAATGCGGATAGGTCTCTTGTGATCCAATAGTGAATAATTGTTATCAGGACTGATTGTGAAGATTGGAAAGGTAAAGGTAGACATTTTGCAGCAAGAAGGAGAGTGATTAACTTTGCAGTCTAGGAGCGGAGGTCCCTGGGACCATCAAGGGAGAAGAGTGGAGAGTGGGACCCTACCCAGAGAAGCAATTGACACCAGAGATGGAGGCAGAGATGATGACGTGGAGAGATGGAGCAGCTGGGGACTTTACACCCAGAGAGGGAGAGGGGCTGTGTGCTGACGACCGGGGCGGGTGGGGGGCAGGCTTTCAGGGTATATATACTTTTTGGTTGGTTGATGATGCATGGAGGAGAGTGTAACCATGGCAATGAAATGATATACGATAGGATGAATGTAAAACTAATGTTCTCCCATGTAAACTATCTCATAATTCACAATAAAACATAAATTTTTAAAAAATGTTTCTTTCTTTAGCTACTTTCTTTATCTTACAGTATGACTATTGAGGCTTCAGTTATATAATATGCAGACTAGCCCCCTTTTTAGACTGCTTTCTGTAACAGTTTTATAATGTCTTTTCAGCATATTATCTGAAAATTTTCTATAAAGGCAACACTCTGTTTCCACAACCACCCCATGTTCCAAATTACTGCTACTGACCATCTAGCTGTCCAGTGACCCAGGCTTCTTCTTGTTGTTAAGTGCCATCAAGTAGGTTCTGACTCATACGGCATTTCTGAGGAGCGGCTGGTGGGTTTGACCTGCTCACCTTGTAGTGAGCAGCCCAGTGCTCATACCAGGACTTCAGACTTTGAGTGTCCCCAAACAAATTTTTAAATGTGGCTTATATGGAAGGAACTAAAAACCCAATATGTATGTTCTGTGTTTTTGTTGTTAGGTGCAGTTGAGTTGGGTCTAACTCATAACAACCCTATGTGCAACTGAATGACAGAAACACTGCTGATCCTACAACCACCCTCACAATTGTTGTTATGTGTCAGCTCATTGTTCAAGTTACTGTGTCAGTTCATCTCATTGAGGTTCTTTCTTTTTCATGCTGATCCTCTTATGTGTTTTACTATGTTGATAATATGAAGTCTAGGAATTTTTGAGTTAGATAATACTTTTATATCTCTATTCTATAGTGACTTTTAGAAACATAGTACATATCTATGCAATGGTACCTTTAATTGTACTAAAAAGCAACTACTTGATAATTTATAGCTCATTTTCCCTGGAGTGTAATCTTTAGTAATAGTTGGGTAATAACCCTATTTATCGTGAATTTCATTAAGGAACTCTGGTAGCGTAGTGGTTGCGAATCGGGCTGCGAACCTTAAGGTCA